ATATGTATGTATATATGTGTGTGTGTGTGTATGTATAATATGAACATAGTTGAATTTTAGTGAGGCAACTTAACTCAGTGTACAGAAATAAACTTGTAAGTAATTTGTATGTGGGTATATCTATTTCCTTTAACACTTTAGAACTCCAGTAGTCAGACTATTTCAAAAGATTATTAAAAATGGTAGTTGAGAAAGATTTCACGTTTTTATAGTTTATTTCTTATCTAGGCAGCAGTAAACTTAGACACAGCAACCTGTCCAGCCAAAAGACAACGAGGAAAACAAGTATGCAGGATAGTGTTTCAAAAGATGTTACAAATAATGCATTTAAAGAACCTGAAAATAACTATTCAGGTTTTTCTTGTTTTATTAGGTGGTGACAGCGCTCTTGAATATGATATGGTATCAATAAATACGGAAGAGAAAATAAATAATCTGAAACCATTTACCAACTACAGTTTCTATGTGAGGGCCTACACTGCAGTGACTGCCAGCGAAAAATCAGATGTGATCACTCAGCAGACACAAGAAGATGGTATGTATATTATAAGCCACTTAACAAGGTTATGAAAACAAATGTGCAATTTATAATGTACATTTTTCACAACTCTGAATCTATAGAAGTGCAGTGTTTTCATATGTGATCTCTCCAAATTTAAGTTTGTTTGACAAAGAATATCTGAAATCTTCATGGTTATTTAAGTTTTTTTGTTTTTTTCCACAAAAATACTATTTCAAAGTATTATTTAATAAAATTATGGTAAGCTATTATTGAATAGAAACGTTTTAATCTCTCTAATTGTAGTACGATATTCCAGTGCTAATTTGTGAACATTTGTAGGCATCATGGAGAGAAGTAGAATGCTGAATTATTCCATAATAGCCCTCAAGCTGATTTTGCATCCAGCAGTGCAATACTGCATAAGTGTTTCTAATTATATTTTACATCTTTAGTTTTTGTAACTATGAATTTCTAGCTATATCAACAAGATACCTTTCATGAAAATCAGATAGCAATTAAGTTTTTAATTAATACTCTGTATACAGGTGGACGATTTGGTCAAAGTTTGCATGCCACAACATTTTTTGACAGAGTTACACTCAAACTTTAATTAAGTTATTTTATTAGCAATGTAGGTTAATAAACCTGGCGCCATTAAAATGTAAGCTGTAATTTAAACTTCTGCACTATCGAAGTTTTAATTACAATTAATTCTTGATGTGTATGGACTGAAGTTGGGCTTCTGAAGAGTAATGGAAATTTTTAACTGATTTATAGTTTAGTTAGAAAGCCAGGTAAGTTATAGTAGTTTTTGGTCATTCTATTTTAGTTTTTTATATTTTTTTGTTTGTAAAATGCATATTTCAAAGGTACATGAATTATTTTTTGGACAACAGACATAGTTAGAAGAAAGAAGCCTTACAAATGCAGGCCCCCCAAATGCAAACTTGCATAGAGCTAATGTATATACTAAATTTCTTGTTTTTTATGTATGTTTCTTATTTGTTAATAGTTGTTTTTAACAAAGATAACTAAATTCTAAAAATTAAAAACTTGTTACGTTATACGTAGGAAAAAGAAATAAAATTTTCACCATCCCTACTCAATGAAAGTATAACATCAAGTTGAGTAACCTGAAGCTTCACTTACCCTAAACTGTTGTATTTCTGCTGAGCGATACATTGTTTGTACTATTTAAAGAGAAATGAAACTAAATTAAATTAAATTAAAGCAGTTATGAAAAGTTAAGAGGCCTAAATCTCATAAGATAAATAATTGTAATTGTATGTTACAATCTGCCATCATTTAAGAAAAATAAAAAGTATTTTTGATTTTGTTTCATATATTTCAACTTTTGCTGAAGATGATTTTCCTACAGTTTATGTTAGGGTAGAGGAATTGAGATAAAGTATAAAGTTATACTGAAATGAAACTTATGATATTCTTTTAGGAGATTCTTTAAGTTATGTAAATGAAATATGAAACTAAGAGGAAAAGAAGTATTTTTATTTGTAGAATGAAATCTATTTTCACTCAGACTGATTCAACAAAGGCTCTAAAAATATTATCAATATCTGTTAATTTCAGTTCCTACCATGGCACCCTCAATAACATTGACAAGTCTTAATCCAACAACCCTGCACATTGCTTGGGAGGAACTACCTGCTGAGACTGCCCAAGGGATTATAATTGGTTACCGTATTTTCATTCGTATTCATAAACAAGCCTCCTTTAACACCATTGAAGTTGGTCCTGGGATTAATGAGTATAATATAACAGGTTATAAAATAATTATTTTAAAATATTGTCAAAAAATTTATATTTTAAATGCATCAAGATGTTTCCTTATTTAATAATTTGTAATTGTTAAAAGTTTTATAGAGAATTATTAAAGTTCTAATCATTTTTGAACATGTGATTTTATATAAATGAGTTATTACAAGAGTCTTTTTAATGTTTTAAACTTTTAAATTTAGAAAGGAAAAGAATAGTTGTATGGTTTTCATTGTAGTTTAACTTTATGTCCAATGTATAGTTGACTTTTGTTTCTGATATGAAAACATAAATTGATGAACTGAGAACTGCAGTTTCAAGCTATCTTGATGATAGTTTGTAACCCTGGGAAGCTTTATATGGTGTATGAAAAATGAACAATTTGCTCAAAATATGGAACAGCTAGAACTGAAAATGGCACTCATAATCTGGTTGAGAAAATTGGATTTTACAATATCTGTCACCAGGGCTTTCAGGTTTTACATTAACAAGGATGCAACAAGTGAAAATCTGTCAAAAGGATTTTAATGGGTAATAGGATTAATTTCAAAAGCTACAAATGATGTGTATTTTTGACAAAACCTGTGAATTTTGGCTGGTTAGTTTTTATATACTGTTTGAAATACCTGTATGCTTCTAAATAAAGAACTTAAGCAAAGAAAACATTTTAAGTAAGAAAAGTGATAATCTCAGCTGTATTTGGGATGAACATACAATAAAACCAGTAGAGTATGTGCAGGTCTAGACCTCCAAGAATATGCTGGTATGTGTAAAACTGATAGTTGCTAATGAGACCAAGACATTTATGTTAAATTATCTTTATGTAAACTCGTTTAATATGCAATTTTTAATTCTGTAATTTTGTCAAGCTATTTTGCTTGCCATAACATCCCAGTTTTCACTTTTCAGACTTACACACTAATGCAACTATTAGAATCTTCACTGTTATTGATTTTCAGGTATACAATAAATATTGCCCAAAAATGATACTCTAAGGCCAATATAAAACATACATATTATAAAAATTATGATAAGAGCATTTTAGTTATATTTTCTTAGCATGTATAAAAATTCTCTGACAAAAACAAAACATCAAAATCAATAAAAACTTAATATCTCTTACTTTCATTGTGATCAATGGCATCCATAAACCCCCCAAAAATGATATGCACATTTTTGTACAGGTTTAATTAAGCAATACTATTCAAATAAAATCAGTGATATGTGGTTAAAATCAAGTATGAACATTACACACATTTTTTTAAACGTTTAAAAGAAAAAATTACACTTGTAGATTTATTCATTTATTTTCTAAGAGGAGGGCAGTATGGCGATGTCCTGAAGCATCAAATGTGTACAGAACTGATTCAGTGTTTACACCCTGATGAACATACATTAACATGAATCCAGTCAGCCGATCATTACTCATTGTATTCTGGAGTTATGTTTTAAGATGATGAAGAGTGCTGAATGCACGTTCTACTGCCGATGTTGACACTAGCATACAGAAAAGAACCCTGAAAATGTTGTAGATGTTCCATTAGAATATATAGGTCTTCTCATGCACTAGAAAGGTCTTCTCTAGAAACATCACTGGAACTGATCAATGCATGCCATGCTGTCAGTTCAGTGTCAGCACACTCTAGTAGAGAGATAACAAACTATGCATTTTCTGACTTAATATCACACCATATTATAAAAGTCAACTTGTTTATTTATGAAGGGAGCAGATACTGGGCTTTTAACCTGGTTAAGGGATTACAACATGATGTTTGAATGTCACTGATCAGATGGTTAATGAAAGGAATGAAGGAATTAAGTTTCCAGTAATCTTTGGTGTTATCAGTGGAAATGTTAGATTGTTTGCTGTGTCAACTGTTAGTCCATGGTTTTTGGATTGAAATATCATTGGTGTTGAGGACAGCACGTGCAGCAGTCCAAATTGATGAAAATGTAATCATTACAGTTCCCTTCGATAATTTCCATGAGTTGAGCAGACTGTTCAGATGATTTAACCAAATCACATTTTTTCCAACTGAAGAGAGTCACATAAGAGATGTATGTGTTGGAGCACCTGTTCGGCAATGAACAGGGGTATGACAAAACGAATTTTGTCATTGAAGCAAAGTATGTAACAGCATCTGTTTGGGAAAATATATTACAATCAACTTGGATAGTGTTGAGGATGGGTGTGAAATCTGGACGATGGACGTTATACTGTCAGAACATTAAGTCCATCAAGTTAGGCAGAAGGGTTTCAGATGTTTGTTGGTGGTGTTTGTTGCATGATCCATATACAGCTGTGATAAAGCTGAGAATTTACCGGGAATGTTGTACAGGTTGTGAAGGGGTATAACACTGCAGGAATGTCCAATAACCAAGTTAAGGTTGTGATTCCAACAATGTATATCATTGGGATGTTGCTGTTGAATGCAAGCTTGTACTCCACATGCATGCCCAATCATGTTGGCTGCTCCATCATATACTTGTCCAACAAGATTAAACAAGTCTAATCCCAACTGTTGTAGCTGTGAGATGATTAAACTGATGAGAGTTGCACTGGTAGTGTCCTTTGTACCAATGAAACATATGAAGTCGTCATTTACCTGGAAATCACCAGCATTCAAGTATTGTAAGTAAATGGTGACTTGCTCTGTTTTACTGATGCCAGCCACCTCGCTAACGAGGATGAAGTAATACTTGGAGATTTTGACCTGCATGATGATAGTGTTGAAAGCAAATCTCTTGTCTACACAAGTCAATGAGATGAGACTGTTTTGGGTATGGTGACTAAAGTACTTGGGGCATTTCTAGGAGCAGTCTGCAAGTTATGTTGGTGATTTACATCAGTTTCTACTCTAAAGTTGACGATGGCTTGAAAAGCACTAGTATCATCTTTGTGTCTACAATGTGAGAAGTTTTGGCACCCACACAAAATAATGCAACTGATGGTAGAATGAAGGGATTTTCGGGTATGATCCACTTTATCGTGTTATGCCTTTGAGAGACATGTTCCATTGTTTGTTTGTACACACATTCACAAATGATAATGTACATTTAGCTGCCATTAGGTGAGCTTGAGACTGAATATGTTTTGCAACTATCTTTTTAGCATTGCATCAGTCGTTAAAAGGCTAACATACGAAAACAAAGTCGTTGGAACCGAAAATGACACAAATTGCACATAGTCCATCCTCTGTGGGGCTATAGCAGATTCGTGCATGTTGATTGAGGTAAAAAATTCCTGGAGGGACACGTTTTTTGTTTTTGCCACATTCGCATAGTGGGCCTTGCCAAGAATGTGCAGCATCAAATTTACTGGTAAGTATTCATTCTTTGAGATGATTATCAAAAGTATTGACTTCTTAAAGGTTTAAGGTGCCAAAATCTATATAAATTCAACACTAAATTCAAATTGGAGGTGTTTAGCTGGCACTGTTTTGAATGAACCAGGGATGTGTGGGAATTTCTCATGATGTGCTGAAGGTTCTGTCATAGTACTTGGCTCAGCATCTTGGGCATTTCCATGTAACAACTCAGAAATTGATCTGTTTAGATCAGCTGTCGGATTACATGCAGTGGTGCCGAGACAGCCATCTTTAGCCATTTGTTGAGATTTACTTACTGAAAAGACAATTCAAATTATGTATATCTCACTGAGGGCAAAGGAAAGGAAAAGAGTGAATTTGTTGGAGATGAAATGCCTGATGAAAATTTGTGGTGTGAGGCTGATTGACCACCTGAAGCAGTGCATTCTGTGATTATATTGTTGCTTGACATTTTTTTGGAAAGCATGAACTACTTGTTGATTCACAAGAACTTATCCCTTATAATTCAAGAACATATTAAAGACTAAAATTCTATGTTTGAAAGGTTTCTTACCTATTCTGCAAAATATATATGCTCCATCTGCTGAAAGTGCTAACAGGCCTAATATGGTTTTTGGCTAAACTATGTACAATGAGTATAGGCTAAAAATGTTCTGTTTGTAAAACAAACAAGCAAGCACTGAATAAATCTATGTATCTATTTATTGTCAAGATAATCATACAAGTTAGTGCCATTAAAAACTACAATATAATTACATACTTTTTACTCCAAAATATTCAAGGAAAAAATGGAAACCACTTTTCAAAATAGCAAACTGTGTGTACAAGTGAAATAACAATATAAGTCAATTTGAGAAATAAACAAAATGATATTTCATATTGTCATATAGACTACAGATCTAGGTCTGTGAATTTAATTGTTTAAACAAAACCCATAAAACAACACTAGCTGACGTAAAAAGACACAGAGTCACAGAAAGACACTGGAAATATTTATTATTCATTTACAGCTCTTCAGGCATGAATGGAAAAATTTTGTATACACACGTGTATGCTGCATCATCCTGTGGGCTCTACTGACTGTGACCATGTTTGATTATGACCTTCCACTAGCACATGGATAGCAATTTTAATATTTACTGCTCCTACTGTTGTACGTATGGCAGTATTAATATAGAGTGAGTAGCAAAAGTACCCAGCAATGCTGGGCTTAAAAAGTAATGCTGTTAATAAGGGTGTGTAAATATATAGTGAGTAATAAACGTATTTGGCAATGTTATAATGTTATAAATAGAGGCATGGGCCATTCTCTTCCACTAATTTGAACTATAACACATGAACTGTTTGTCTAGTGTAGAGGTACATGTGCCTATGTGGCACTAAATATTACTTTTGTTTGGCAGTGGCTTCATATATTTTGCTTAGTTGCTCAGTTGAGCCCTCATTCAAAGCAAAAAATGGTTAAAATGGTTACCACACTGAAACCACTTGATTGTGCATACATTTAAACTCAAGCTGTGTTACTTCCACCTAGGGCTTTTAAAATGTTTGTGTATACTGAGCAGTTTGCTTTTGTTAACTATCTAATTCACTGAAGAGAACATTTATAGATTGCAACACCATGTTGAGTTGTTTTCAAGAACAAAAACACAATGTCTTAACTTCCTTGTAATTTTCGGAAAAATATTTCAAGGCTTAACAGAGGTACATAGAAATATAGTTTTTGGACTTCCAAGAACATTCGGGGTATAGATTTTATTATATTTTAATTTTTAACAGCTTAGATGTTGAGTACTATTATTCTCAATGAATCTGTAGGTTTAAGTTTAAACATGCTTTACAAGCCTGTGTGGTGGTGTTATTTATATTAAAGGCATAAGGAGATAATAAATATAAGAAGTGAAAACCACACAGTTGCTGTAAATGGGTGTTGATTTACATAGTGAGTTTTAACGCGATAAAATCTAAGATATAAATATGGCATAATGCAGATAGAAAATGCAACATACTAACAATACATGTACTATGTATTTTTCTTGGGATTTAAGGGGGATAAGGCAGAAAACAGTTTGATGTAAACCACAAAAAATGTTCCAATTGTAATTTAAACACATTTTTATGTGGCCTGCAATGTATTTGAAACTAATCTTAAGAATGTATGTGTGATGTAGAAAATGTTTTTAATTCTTAAAATTGTAATTGTATTTTAATTTGATTAATTCAGGTCTTCAACCAAAACAGAAATATGATATAAAAGTGAGTGCAGGTACCTCTAAAGGATACACAGTTTTGAGTGACAGTAGGTGGCCATGGGTTACTCAAACAATGCCCAGTCTAGAAGACAATAAAGGTAAATTAAATTATGCTATAATGGCATATCTGTGATAAATATTTTATTATTTTTTGTACTTTTCATAAATATATAAGATTGCATTTATATCAAAACAAATATCTTAACTCTTTCCAGATGGGTCACAGTTCAAAGGTCATATCATCACATTTATTGACTCAATTTTCATGAATTTATGTCAGTAAGTTTGGTATCAAACTGTAGATTATAATTCAAATTTTAGTATTATACATTATTCAATTTCTTAATTTAAAAGTAAATATTAAAAAAAACACAGTTAAACATCAATTTTTGTATCACCTAATATGTTGAATGTTGTGATGTCAAAATACTAAATCTGTAATTTCATATGAATTAGGAACTCAAATTACCAATAATGACAAGTTAAAATATATATAATAAAAATCTCATATCTTTTCTATTTGCTGAGATATCGCACATGTACTGAATAAAAAATAAAGTAGCCCTGCTCACCTACCATTTGTGGAAATAGTCCCTTATATACACTTACTTTAGTATATGACATGTGAATAATTTATTTCAAGATGAGAATGTCTCCCTAGTGGCTTTATCAGCCATTTTTAAGTGTTAGGATGCCATCTCATTCTTTTGAACCACAATTTCAAGGAGGTAGGTTGTGTCTTTAGTCTGCTCGAAATTTCATATTTTTTTAGACAGAAATACAGCTTAGTTACTAAGCTTGATAAATTATAATGAATTCTGTGCTATTGGTATAGTAATTTATGATTTTTTGGTTATTCAACTGTATATATAAAACCAAAAAAAATTATTGCATTTCACATTCTCCACATGTGAAATTTTAAAATGCTTATCAACCTACATCATGCAGCAACTGAGTACAAAGGTTGTAACTAGAAGAGATAATTGTTTGCTTTACCTCTTTACTTACTGTTCTATCTTTTAAGAAAAATATGTTTATAATGCATAATAATTGAAATGTGACTGTATTTTACAAAATATTAGTCTACTAAAACACAGTCAAGACAGGTTACTTTGTAAAGACTAAAGATCAATTTTATATTATTGGATTTAGTAACATGAGTGTGTGTGTGTGTGTGTGTGTGTGGTGTCATTGTAACTTCTTTATTGTTGGTCAGGTATGGCTGAAAGGTCAGTATGATAAGAATAATAAATATATAAAAATGTATAATGTTATGAGGTTTAAGCTATTTACTCTAAACATTTATGTTTTCATGTTATAACTTGTTGTCATTCTAGAATGAAAGAGCCATAATTTGTAATTTTTTATGGTGGTTATAAGATTGTACAAATCTACCAAACCCGTGCAGATAAAAAATAAAGTTTTTTTTTAAGAAACGTTTATCAGCTGTCTGGACATTATAAAGATTTCTCACGGGAAATTTGCAAAATTTATGATGCATAAAAGTATCTTTGACCTAAAAATGAAAATTACTTTGCATGTTGGATAGGCAACATTCAAAAAGAAAAAAGGCATGAGAAAAACATTGCTTAACAAACCTTAAGACTTAAGAAAAAATTTTTTTACTTTGCATATAAAATAATCTGCCAAATTTCGTTAACATATGCTTACTAATTTAAAGGTTATAGCATGAAAACTATAACAAACGCAAAATGGTAAGGAGGTTGGTCCCAGGGACTGAGCCCGTACAAAGAGTTAATAGATGTGTTTAAAAAAATGTGTATCTGGTATGACTGAAAAAAAATTCACTTAAAGTATCTAAAAATATTTACATCAGGGATAGTTTTAAACATAATTGAATTTGAATTGTATTTGTTTATTATATAAGATAAAGTAGTATTTAGATGCTTGTAATTGTATTAACAATGAAATACTACCTTTTGCAGTTCCTCCTTCCCCAATCTTGCATCTCACAGCCATTAATTCAACAACTCTGGAAGTCAAGTGGGATATGCCTCACTACAATTTGCAAATGTTGAAAGGATTCAGTTTGTCCTGTGGAGAGCTGAAGAAATCAGAGATAAAGTTAGTGGAGTTACCAGCTGATAAAACAAACTATTTCCTTGAAGATTTAAGTAAGACATCCATCCTCTGATATTCATTAATTCATGGTTGCATACTTTTAATGAATAGCAACAGATAACACACCAAATTGCTGTGTTAAATTTAAAAGCACGTTTAAAATTCATTATATATATAGTACAAGTGATACCTCAATCTTGGAAATACTAAATCCATGATCTGAATACATCTTTGATTTAAGTGTATGAATATTTTGCATTGGAAAAGACTGTTACTTACCCTTCTCAAAAGTGATCAATTTTAAGTGCCATTACTCTACCTACGAAACATCAAACAATGTTAAAATTATGTTTTGATGTGTGCCTTTCTGCTGATTCATGTTCAAAACTTTTTTAATATCACTTTCTCAGTTCTCTGTAGAATTCAAAAACTGTGCATCATCTTTCTACTACACAAGGTCTTAAAGGTGCTACAGTGAATTTTTAATTTGTTTGGGAAATATGTTTTAAATTGTAGCATTTATTGTTGGGTTTTTGTTAAGGCATGCTTGTTTTTATGTTGATTCATACAACTCTGATTTCGTACAAAATATTAAATGTTATGGTATTGTAATTCAGAATTGTTCTACAACTTATTATGTTTTAGCTGCATACATTTCTGTCAGTTGCTATATATTACAAATATGAGTCCTTTCAGTAAATGTGAATTATAAATGATTATCCTTTTAATTTAGAGGCTATGTATTCAAGTAAAAATTTTAGAATTTGATATTGTATTTATTACTTCTTTGTTAAACACCTTGATGTATTACTGAGTCAGTGCCGGGCATAATGACTGAATAGTACTAAAACTGTAAAGTCATAAACAAGGATGAGAATTTTCTCAGGATCCAAGGATATACACTTTGTTTTTGTAATCACAAGTCTTGGATTGTGCAGGGTGCATTTTACCCCTGTCTCTTTCATTACACAGGACATCTTAATCAGACGTTTGTTGTGCTAAATCAGTGTTGTTTGGACACATACTCACCACCAGGATATCAGGTGTCACCCCCAGAATATAATTAATCCTCATGGTCCTTCTGTGCTTATGTCATTTTCTTTGATCATTATAAATGTTAGAAAGGTGAAATCTATAAACCTTGTTGATTTTTTATACCAGAAAAATAAATAACTTCAATTAACACTAATCATTTAGGTTTACAGTATTTCTACTTAAGTTCAGTTAGAATTGAATAGAGACAACAGTTATCATTTCTATTAACCCTATCGCCTTGGGTAGCTTTTATTGCACATGACACAAGGTTTTGGTGTCTTACATTCAAAATTTTATTAAACTACTTTTTCTTTATATTATACCAATTAGAATAGCACAAAATATTAGCTAATAATCCATATTTTAATAGTATACAAGTTTTAATTTCTTAAATCTACAAGGGAATATTAAAAAAAATTGAATTTTCGCTAGTGTGAAACACTTTTTTTTAGCAGGTCATCATGCCTGTTTTATCCATCACCCCTTGAAAATGTACGAAATTAAATGTAAATTACTCTATAAAGTTGTTATTGTTCAGACAAACCATCATTTTTGTAGTCTTCAATTTTGTTTGGTTACAGAGCTCTCAAATAGAAAATCACACCCCTTCTGCCATGCCCACCTGTCACATCCTCTCTTTCACAATTTGTTGATAGCTTTCTCTTATGTTTCATTATATATTACCTATAATCAATAGAAAGTCGAGGTTTTCATCTATCAAATGACGTATTGTGTAACATTGTGTTTTGTACAGAATATCGTTAATTTCACTCACGGTACAAGATTTGTTCCTGTGGGAAAATTAATGACTAGCTTGGATGGATTTGTAACAGCTCTTGTCGCATACTTAGAAAGCCAGTAAAATTTTGAGAGTTAAGGGAATTTGTCTGCTTTTGCATGTTATTAGTTTATATTCTTTGTTACATTATTTAATTAAATAAACATTATTAAATGTGTTACTATCATTGCTATGAAAAATTAGGCTTAACTATCTTCAAAACCCAACAGCAAGAAAAAAAGAAGACTAGGTAAGTACGTTATTTCTTGTTTTTCGTATTTATTCTTTACTTATTATTGTAAAAGTAATTAAAATCTAAAAATATGGATCTTTTTATGTTATTTAAGACTAGATTAGTTAAAATAAGTAATAATGATAATATATTTAAAATGTTTCACAAGGCACACACACATGTGAGTAACACGTGGATAATGGAATTTGATAGTGTAATTTGAGCTGCACATTCCCTGAGTGATTTACAACTTATAGTGGCTCATATAGTAGTTAGACATGGTTCAAAGGGCAATAAAACAATAAAATTTAATAATAAATATATGTATAATGTTACGAACTTAGAGATACTTAGAATAAACTAATGTAGTTTCATGTTACAATTTGAAGTTATTCTAGAAAGAAAAAAGGTTAATTTAGGTTTATTTCGATTTTTTTCTATTTTCGTGGTTTCAAGGTTAGTTGAATTGATCCTGTTTTGGATTGGGTAAAGAAAATATCAG